AAAATTGGTTCCACTGTTTTTATTAAAAAGTGAAGGTTATTAAAGAGCCCTGGAAGAGTTACAGGAAAAAAATTGAAGTCATTATTTATCGTCTATGAGTAAACTGAGTAGGTCTGAGAATTAGGATGGGTTAAGAGGAAACTAAGGGAAGAAAAATAAAGCAGGTAGTAATAACTCCAGGAAAAAACAACAACAGAGAGTTTCACAAGAAAGGAATGCAACCGTAACATGTGCTCTGGCTGACCAGGAAACCGTTCTTATATAGTTATAATATAAAAATTCTCAGTATTCATCTAATGGGAAATTGTGGCAACTATAGATCCAAAGGAGAGGAGGGTGAGAGCAGCTCCATCTTCCTTGACAATAGTAATGATAAAAAGAAATAATTTTGACCACTCCCTGGGTAATGTTCATTATTCTTGACACTTTACATGGTGAATCCTCACAACAATCCAGCACCTCAAATATTCCTATTACTCTCATTTCACAAATGTGGAAACTGAGGCACAAGGAGGTTAAGTCCTTTGCCCAAAGTCATGGCCATCCAGGCACTCAGGCTGCGGAAGCTATATATGAAGACATCAGACCAGCAGACCAGAAAGGAGGTCAACACTTGCCTAAAATTAATTTTTTTAAAAAAGGAGGTCAACACTTGCCTAAAATTAATTTTTCTAAAGCATGTTACTTAGAAATGTTTAGGATGGTACCAGAAGAAACTGTTCAAAGAGTTGGATGTGGTTGCTTGGAGGAGGTGGGCTGGGAGTGAGAAGGACAGGGCAAGAGAATGATTTTTATTAGTACGATTTAACTTATACAGACATGCTGCTACCCAAGAGGTGGGGACAGAGGTTAGCAGGGAAGGAACACGAGGGAACTTTCCACATTGGTAGCATTGCTCTGAATCCTGATGGAGGGTTGCGGTACAGTATGTTTTTACCTGAACTCAGCAAGGGGTACATCTGAGATCTGTGCATTTCAAAGTATGTAAATTTTACCTCCCCGAATAAAAATAAAAGAACTGTAAACAAATACTTTGGAACTATAGCTAATGATACGAATGCTGAAGTGCCAAGGGGAAACGTTCTAGTGTTTGTAACTTACTTTGAAAAGCTTCAAAAAGATAAGCTGTCCTAATAAATGGATAAACGTGATAAAAAAAAATTAGCAAAATATCAAGAACTGAGCTCTGAGTAGATAGATAGACATGTGTTCAGTGTATAATTTTTGCAAATTTTCTTTTCTTTTTCTTTTTTTTAAATCCTCACCTGAGGATATTTTTCCAATTTTTTTTTTTTTTTTAAGAGAATGGAAGATGCGGAAACCGATTTGGCTCAGTGGATAAATTTTTTTTCTTTTTTTTCTTAAGAGAATGGAGGATGCTGAAACCAATTTGGCTCAGTGGATAGAGCGTCAGCCTGTGGACTAAAAGGTCCCGGGTTCAATTCTGGTCAAGGGCATGTACATTGGTTGCAGGCACATCCCCAGTGGGGGGTGTGCAGGAGGCAGCTGATCAATGTTTCTCTCTCATCGATGTTTCTAACTCTCTATCCCTCTCCCTTCCTCTCTGTAAAAAATCAATAAAAAATATTTTTTTTAAAAAAAAGAGAGAATGGAGAGGGAGAAGGGAAAAAGAGAAAGAGGAAGGGGGGGGGGGCATCAATGTGAAAGAGACACATAAATTTACGAGATACGTGTCCCTGACTGGGCATCGAACCCAGGACCTTTCAGTCTGAGGGCCAACACTCTAACCACTGAGCAAAACCAGCCAGGGCACAAATTTTTTTTCTTTTTAGCTTGAAATTTTTCTTAATAAAATGTTGGAGGAAATATATGAATATTTTATCTGAAAAATATTAAACTTTTTAAAACCTGAATGGGGTCTTCTGTCTTGGACCTGGATGGACCCACACTACCCTAAGCCCTCCTATGTGTACATCTATCTGACAGCTGTCTCCGCCTTACCTGGAATCCTGTAGCCTAATCCTGTCCCTCCATACTCCCCCTGATGTCAGCAGGAATCAATCGGGTCTTCTCTCGGTCCCCTCGACGCCTCAGCCGCAGAACCAGGACCAGTTCACTAGGGATAACCCCAAGGCCCCCGAGCGACACCCATCCTTTGCCAGGAGGGTGAGCTGAAGCCTGGCAGGTGGCGTTGGGTGCCTTTTCCAGAGGCCCAGCACACCTTCCTGTCAGGAGTGAGCAGCCAAGGTGCCAGTCTCTCAAGCCCCCGTGTATATAATTAGCCGGTGGGAAATAGATCAGGGGGCAGATCTCATCTCTGCCTAATTAGGGGCTAGGCAGCTGGGCCAGCTTGGCCTGGGGGAGCGGCGATGGGGGCCAGGCAGCCCCCGGGGACGGGGCAGCAGCTGCAGGCCCTCCGAGGGGCTGGAAGGCAGCGGCTGCTCCTCGCCCCTCACACTCCAACTGGAGGCAGAACAATGGAGGGGCTGTTTCTGCAGAGCGCAGAGCCCGAGGCAGGCAGGCTGGTGGGGCTGATGGGCTGGTTGGGGGAAGTGGGGGAAGCCCCAGCTGCAGCCCACAGATCCCCACGTGAGAGGGCAGCGGGCTCCGAACTCCTGGCAGAGGGAAGCCCTCCACCACTTGGGAACCTCTGCTGCAGAAGTCAGGGCTCAGACTGGCACCTTCCGCACTTTCCAAGAATCCCTCCTGCCCGCTTCCCAACAGACTCTCCCAACGCCCTTCAAGGCTACCCCAGGCCCAGCTCCTGGGAACCGCTCCGGGCTTCAGGCAAAAGTCCCTCAACATGCCTGCTCCACGTGGTACGACTGTGCTTCCTGCTTCGCTGCAGCCCTTCTCTCTCCACCCCAAGATTAAAGAGGGGCCAAGACTCTCTTGCCCACTGCTTGGCACCCAGTAGGTGCTCAATAACGTGATCAGAAGGGAAAGCTGCCGAGATGGGGAAAGAAGTGAGGCATTGTCAAAAGAACCAGAGTGCCACTGACGGCTGGGTGTCCACGGGCCAGAGTGCAGACCTGGTCTGCGGCAGCCCACCAGCTACCATCCCTCCTGCTCTAAGGCCAGAGATGACCTTCTAAGGGGACCCCTGAAGGGCCATCTTTGAGGATTTAGTGGCAGGACGAGTGTAAAGGGTCTGAGCCCAGCATGTAAGCCCCCTCCTGGAACGAGGGCCCTCCCAGCCTCAATTTCTTCACATGTAAAATGCAGCCAACACACTCGCCTGCTTGTGCTTCTGAGGGCTGGTAGGTCACAGAAAAGGGGACAATTAACTCAATTCTGACCAGGTTGCCCCAGAGGAGCTGGTCTTTGACCCCTCAAAGGACACCACCTCCGCAGAGCCTGCCCAGCTTATCCCTCTGCTCTCCTCACTCCCTTAACACAGGGACCAAGAGGCCCAGCTCCTACATTATCCAGCCTGCTGGGCCCCCGTGGGCAGGTGGCCTTTCCTGGGCCTCAGTTCTCCGTCTGTATCACGAAGGGAGAGACTTCATTCTCGTGGGCTCCAACAACATCCTCTTCTATACCCCAATGTCCCCTTGTTTCCTTCAACTGCTGGGCCTAGCCTAATCCCCCAGGGGCTGGTAGACTGTCAGACGGACAGACAGACAGACAGACAGCTGGGCTGACCTGGATGTTTGTCAACAGCCCAGCGGAAATCTCCTCTTTATGCCTAAAATAAAACCTACATCAAACCTGTCACTAGGGCCCCCATTAGCGCTTCCTGTTTCTGAGGAGCGCAGCCAAGCCAGCCCGAGTGAAAGGAAGCACCACCCAGCCTCTCCCCTCTCCCACCCAAACGCTGGCAGAGGCCACCCATGCTTTCATCCTCTGTGTCCTCAGCTCCCCCAGCCAAAGGGTAGTCTCCTAACAGGTAACTAACCGGGAGAGAGCCAGGAAGGAGCTGAGCCCTCAAAGCCCAGTGCCAGCTGCTTCCTCCCCCTTCCCACTCAAACCCAGAGAAGACTGTGCTTGTCCACTCGGGGTCACTCAGAGTTGGAGGTAAGTCCATTCACTTTGTGCTGCCCACCCAAGTCCCTCTTCCTCTAAGAACTCTCACTTCCAACCCCCCAACCTATGGCCTACATGACCTCAAATTGAGGGTTTGCCCTCTCTGAGCTTCCTTCCCCCTTTGGAACTGGGCAGGGAGTGGGGGAAGTCAGAACACCCGTGGCCATGGTAGCCTTTCCCCTGCAGATCCCCTTCCTGGTCAAAGAGGAAAGGCCCCCGTCCCAGTCCCAGCTCCATCCCAACTCACCTGGTGCCCGGACCCAGCTAGGAAGTGCGCCCGCCTCCCTGAGGCTCCCTCGTGCCAGGCCAACCTCTGACATCACGCCCCACGGATGCTGGGGTAAACAATTACTAGGTTTGGAAGGCCCCATCCCAAGACTTCTCCCATCCCGCCTCCTTGGGAACACAGAAGAGTCTGGTGACCCAGCCTTTAAAAAAGCAAGCATTTGTGTTTATTAACCAAAGTGGGGGGAAGCCAGAGCCAGGAGGGCTCCTACCAGTCCCTCCTGTAGGCTCCCCACCTAGGCCCAGGCTGCCAAGGCCTGGGGAGAAAAGTGGCTAGACCACTCTTCCCTGCCCCCATCCTGGGGGTGAATTCCCCGGGAACCAGGGCCCACGGAGTGAGGAAGAGGAAGTGAGCAAAGGATAGAGGCCAACGAAGGAAGAAAGAAACAGAGCCACAGGGTAGACAGACCTGGTAGAGATCCTTGGTCCCTCACCAGTGGGGAGGGCTATATGCCCCCAGCCCATGAGAGGAACCAAGCAGAGGTACAACTCGTGTCAAAATCCCGACATGTGAGGAGGAGGGAGTGGTCCGAGGTCCAGAGGCCACCCTCTCCAGGGTCCGTCCTTGCCCAGGTGGATGCTGGGCCAGCCTCGGAGCCTCTGCCTCCATACCAAGTTCACAGAAGGCAGTGGTCTGCCCCAACCCAGGGGAGGGGTGAAGGAGAGGTCACGGGCCAATCGCTTCTTTAAGATCTGTGTCCTGTGCCGAGTGCGAGTCCAGAGGAGGCCTATCCCTCCACCGCCGGCGTCTCCCGCGCTTGCCGCAGCCCGTACAGCCACTTGATGACCCGGGCGTTGCGCTCAATCACTGACACGCCGTAGGGGACGCGCTCCCGGGCCCGCTCCTCCACGGTGGCCGAGCTGCGGTGGGAGCAGCCCCCCTCGGAGCTGCCTGGCCCAGCACTGGGCCCCGCCAGGGACACGATGTCCGAGCTGGCCCGGGCCAGGTGGGCCACCCCGAGTCCGCGCGCCTCCTCGGGGTCCAGGCCACAGAAGTTGAAAAACCGCTCCAGGTCGGCCGCTGCCCGCGAGAAGCGCTCGCTCAGGTCTGACTTGGAGCGCTGCAGGCCCGGGGGCCGGGCTGGGCTGGAGGCCGCAGTGTCCGGTGACGGGCAGGGCTGGCCAGGTGAGGCCGGCAGGGGACGGACATCCACGCGGCGGACAGCAGCGGTGCTGGGAGGTGGGCGTGGCGGGGTGGCTGGAGGGTCCTGGCGGGCTCCCTCTGGCCGGCCGGGGGTCCGGCTGGCCTCGGCAGGGGACACCGGGCTGCTATCACACAAGTCGATAAGGCTGCTGAGGATGTCCAGGTCCAACTGGGGCCGGCGGCAGGGGCCAGGCAGGGCTCGGCGGCTGGGAGTGAGCACCGTGCGGCGAGTCCCGGGGCTGAAGAGCGGCTGCTTGGACAGCAGGGGCTGCACAGGCTGCTGGCGGGTGTTGGCCACATGCAGGCTCTTGACGTACTTGGCCTTGTCGGCCTCCAGGCGCTCCACGGCACTGGGTTTCCGGGCTCCGCCGTCTGCCGGCCTTCGCAGCAGGTAGCCCGGGACCTTGGTCCTCAGGCGGAAAGGTAGGGCGGGTATGTCCCGGGCTCCAGGAGACAGCATGTCCACAGGCATGGCTGTTACATACCCCCGAGGCCTTCTGCACGAGGACACGGGAGAAATGGGGAGACAGCGATCCAGGCAGAAAACTGGCAGCTGGACGCCGGCAGCGGCTGCAGGGAGGAAAGAAGGAGAAGGGCTGAGCACGCTCAGACAAAGGCTCGGCAGACTGCTGGAGGCTGAAGACGCCTTCCCCATTAAAAGGGAAGGCCACGCCCCCGGCTCACAGGAAGCCAATCAGGAGGCAGGAAGCACCAGCTGTAGGGCCCGAGGCTCCGCCCACACCCCCGCCCTCCTCCCAGAGCCCGGCCCAGGGGAGGCAGAGAGAAAAAAGGTGCCACAGGAAAGCACTGGGCAGCCTGGGCAGGAAAGGCAGGGCAGGGGAAGTAGAGTGGGCTCGGAGCCCTGAGCTGGGCACCAGCCTGCTCAACCGCGGCCGTGGATCCTCTTACCAGCTCCATGTTTCAGATGGGGAAACTGAAGCTAATTCAACGAATTGGTGGCTCTGATCCTTGCCTCCAAGCAAGGACGTGCTGCCACCAGAGCCTTGGGGTTAGGTGAGCAAGAGGAAGGGCTAAAACCCAACCTGGACTGCCCACAGGGAGCCTGCTACCACTTCCACCCCTTGCCTTCCCGGACAGGAAGCTGCTCTGTGCCATCCACCCGCCTAGACACGCCAGGCCCCAGGCACTGCAGCGGAGTTTGTGGGGGAGGAGGGCAGAAAATCCCCACCCCCACCACAGTGGCGCCCAGACACCGTCAGCTTCCAGTACGGGACTCCAACACCAGGCCCACCGTGACCCATGCATGCCTGTCACAGGGCAGCGTCAGACCTAAGCTATGCTGCTCCAAGAAATGCCCAAGGTCACACAGCCCTGCTGGGGGGCATCCAGCAGACTCTTGATCTGCCAGCAACCATAGCACAGACACCCACAGGCGGGAGTGCCCACACCTGGGTGCAAATACCCACATAATCACCTAGGCATCAGAGCCTGGTGTCCCAGGTATCTGGCATCCCTTGCCCTTTTTCCAAGGAAGGGCTGGAGCCACAGCCTCCCTGGAGATGGGCCAGGAGAAAACCTATAGACCAAGCTCTGAACTTTCTCATCTGTTACCTGGGGGAGGAGGACTTTGCCAAGGTGATAGCCAAGGGGACGGTGGTTCAGGCCAGGGAGGGCTGTGTTGCCTGATTCCATAGCCACCAGCCACAGCCTTCGCTTTCCATTTAAATAAAAACTTACCCTCGGTTCCTGAATCACATTAGCCACATTGCTAGGGCTCAACATCCCCAGTCACTTGTGGTCATACCACAGACAGCGCCGACTGCAGCATTTCCGTCGTAACAGAATGGATCGGGCAGTGCCACCTACACATCCGGAATTCCAGGAGGGAGTCCAGATTGGGGTGGGGAGGCAGGGATCTCTACTGGGTGCTTGCTAGGCGTTGGGCACTGTCCTCTCCTGGAGGCCAGGGAGATGGGTCATTGTCGCCTCATTTTACAGATGGAGAAACCGAGGCGCTGAGAAGTGACCAACCTAGGTCCCAGCGCAGCTGACCTAGACCCACGTCATAGGAAGCTGAATTCACTTATCTGTTATGTCTATGGGAGTTTTCCTTTGTGCTGCTCCCATGCCTCTAAAATATCAGCTTCACGAGGGCAGGGGTATCTGTGTTGTTCACAGTTTCAAGATATTACTCTTGACGCGTTGTGGGTATTCAGTACAGTTTTATTGACCTGAAATGTCTACAGGGGGCCCAGTGTGAATGGGCACCCCCAGTCTGCTGCAGGCAACTGGGTCCAAGGTGGTGCGTGTTGGATATTCTAAGAAGCTAGAAATCCAGAAGTGCAGGAAAACTCTAGGTTCCTAAATATTAGCATAGTCAATAATAATAATTTTAAAAACACTGCATGTACGGGGCAAACAGAACATGCGCCTGCCGCCACCACCCCCTCCCATCTGGCCCCCAGCCCCAGGGTGGGACCTTGGCTGCAATGGCAAGTTGAGAACAAACCTTTGGGGCTGTTGGCCCAGAGCCAGAGCTGCCCCCCAGGTGGAAGGGATGGAGTAGGTGGGAAATGGCTGCCCCACCGAGGGCCGACCTCCAGGAGACCTCAAGAGAGAGAAGGGTCTGATAGGAAAGACAGCCTAGCTGAGCCCTGTCCAAGTAGCTAAACTCTGCCCCACCCCCGGGCCTGCCGCCTTCCAAACCAGTCCAACCCGTCCGGAGGCGGTGGTTCCGGGCACTCTCCCACAGTCGGGGAAACAGGGACGAAGGGGGTCAGGTGCGCAGGGCCGGGGCAGAAGCCCGCTCGCCCCTGGGCTCACCTGGAGTCCCTACACCCTCGGGCCTCCCCCGGACAGATAGGAAGAGCGGCGGCTTTGGGGCCGCTGGCCCACCTGCCTGGGCTTGGCCACCGCCACTGCGCGCTTTGTGCAAGCAGCCACGCCGCTCGGAGACTCCTTTGCTTATCTGTGAAATGTGGTTAAAAATAGACCTGCAGGTCACCGTGAGGATGGAGAGACAAAACAGCTCGAGGACATTCTTCAGCATCCGGGAAACAGGCGACTGGCCATAACCCGGGCTCCTTGTTTTCCACAGACTTTCCTCCCTCCTCCCCTCACTCCCGCCGTCCTGCGCAGGGGTCTCTAACCGCTCAGGAAGGGCCACGAACAAGGGAGGTGCAGGCTCAGGGTCTCCAGAGGACCGGTCCCACCTGGGCACTGGGACCCTAGCTTCAGCTCGCAGGCACAGGTTAGGGGCTAACCGGCCCCATGTCACAGGTGGGCCAGCAGGAGTGCGGCGGCTCCCATGGTGGACGCCAGGTCCCAGTGCCCAGGTGGGACTGGTCCTCTCAGAGGCTCTGAGCCTCCTTCCATCACCCAACGCCCCACCCACTTTGGGGGATTTCAAATGCCCCCAAAGCGCGGCCCCGGGCCCTTCTCCTTGGCATTCCTGGGGCATTCAGTCCCACCTTGCCCCCTTCCCACCGGCTTCCCCAAGGAGCCCCAGGAGGAGAGAGGGAGTAGGGGCGGCTCGGATCCAGGTCTGGCTTCCTCCCTTCCCTACTTCGGGGCAATCCTGGGAACTCCCTGCCTGGAAGAGGACGCGAGCCCGGCGCGCGCTGTGGGACTGCGGCCGAGGGTCCCCCCTCTCTGAGCCCGGGGTGGCCTGGCTCTTACATGGGGGGCCTGACGGCACGACTTCTGCGGCATCCATCCGGCCGGAAGGTGAGCCCCTGCCCGGTCCCCGCCTTTCTGAGGAGTAAGGGGTGCAGGGCTGCGCCCCCGGCCCGGCCCCCGGCCCGTGCCCCGACCCGCACGTACCTGGCTGCGCCCGCGCCCTACTCTGCGCTCCCGGCCCGGCCCACCCGGGGCTCAGGTAGCAGGTATTGCGCAACTTCCGGTGGCCGGTGGCAGCCGGCGAACCCGTCGACCCAGGTATCACCCAAAACAGAGCGAACGGACGCCAGGCAGCGGCCAGAACCGAGTCCAGACGCGCTGGTGGTGGGCGGGGCGCAGGGACCCGCTCCAGGAGGCGCCCTGGGAGCCGGGCACTGTCACTCCAGGCTGCACTGGCCCTGGCCATGGAGTCCTCCTCCCCAACGTTTATGGTCACTGCGCCAGGCGTGAGAAAGTGCTTTTCCTGCTATCAATTAACCCGTTTTAATCTTCCCAACAACTCCTGGGCGGTGAGCTCTATTATTATCCTCATTTCACTAATAGAATTCTGAGGCTGGGACAGGCTGAACCAGCTGCCCATTGTCACCCGGAGGAGTCCAGCCTGGGCGCTTTCCCTCTGACAGCCCTTTCTAGCTGTGTGTCCCTGATCCGAATGCCTAACCTCTCTGACCCTCCAGAGACGGGGGTCCCACCTTCCAGGCCCGGTCAGTGAGTTCTTGGGGTCTGAGAGTGCTTGTTGAAGCTTTGAGCAAGCTGTAAGCAATAATAGCAATAGTGGTAGCTACAATTTTTGAGTGCCAGGCACTGTACTTATTTAAATCTCTGAACAATCTCCCCACTCCCCAGATGGGGAACTGTTCAATCCCCATTTTCTGAGGAGATGGTAGTAGCCCTGCTGGAAGGAAGGAATCCGGGGAGGGCGCTGACTGTCTCCTCTGCCAACCCATGCCCTGTTACATCAGTTCAGGTGGTACATTTGATTAGGCCAGTTTCATGGGATCCAGAGAAGGAAGTCTCCCTGCCCCCGCCCGGACCCGGGGAAGGCTGAAGAGGTCAGTGGCTGCGCCTGGAGAGGCTTACACAGAATTGGAGTGGAGGGCATGAGGAGATAGGAAGTGACTCAGGGAACCGCTGTCTACGCTGAGAGTGAGTCAACCCTGACGCCCCCTCCAGGCCCTGGGGCCTGAGTGATGGAGCAGGACCATCATCCCCCACAGAGGCCTGCTGGGTCCCTGCCTGGCCCTCCCTGGTGCAGCAGTAAGGTGGGAGAGGGTTCAGTTAGGCACTAACAGTAGCAAAAGCAAAGCAACAACAATACTTTTCAGAATAAAACCGGTAAGAATTTTTTCTGAGAGCTTTCTTTGTGCCTGACCCTCTTCTAAACTCTACTCTGTTAACTCACTTAATCCTCATACCCACCCTGTGTGATAGGTACTACTATTATGCCTGTTTTACAGTTGAGAAAACTGAGGCGCAGAGAGGTGGGACCGCTTGCCTGAAGTCACAAAGCTGGTAATTGGCAGAGCCAGGATTTGAACCCAAATAAGGGTCTTGGGGGGAGGAGGGAGAACAGGTCTCCAGCCGTGGGCTTCGGCCACTCACCGAGGGTCCCCTAAGGAACCTGCAGCCTCCCTCTCTGGACCCCCTAGCTATGGCTCTGGGTCTCAATTTCCTCAACTATAAAACAGGGGCAATGATAGCAGTGTTTTCCCAACAGAGATTAGATCTCATCACGGCTCTACTTAAAACCCGCTGTGGCTCCCCATCACCTGAAAATAAAGTCCAAACTCTCCCCGGGCCCTCAGGCCCTCCCAGATCCAGTCCCCGCCTTCC